TGCTGCCCAACATGAAGGGACCCGATGACTCCTGCAGGAGACTCTACTCGGGGGTTGTGCGGTCCATGGCCCTTTACGGGTGCCCGGTATGGGCGGGGGCCCTGAAGGCCAGCAACGTCGCGATACTGCGACGACCGCAGCGAATGCTGGCCATCAGGATCATAAGGGGGTACCGCACGATCTCCTTTGAGGCAGCGAGTCTCCTGGCCGGAACTCCACCGTGGGACCTGGAGGCGAGAGCCCTTGCGGCACTGTATCAGTGGCGCAAGGAGGCGCAGGAGTTGGGTCGATGCCCCGAGATTCGAGAAATCGATGACCGGAAATCCCAACTCCGCCAGGTCATCATAGGGGAGTGGAGGGAACGACTCGGGCAACCGAGCGCTGGGCACGCCGTCATTGCGGCGGTAAGACCCGTTATGGAGGATTGGCTCGAGAGGCGTCACGGGACCCTCTCATACCGATTGACGCAGGTGATCACTGGGAAGGGATGTTTCGGAGATCACCTGTGTCTGATCCGCAAGGAGCCAACGCCTGAGTGCCACCACTGCGATGGCCAGACCGTGGACACGGCTCTCCACACGCTGGCAGAGTGCCCGGCGTGGGTTGAGCAGAGGCGAGACCTCGTGGCGGCCATCGGAGTGGGAGTTCTCTCGCTCGATAGCCTGATTGCGGCTATCGTGCGGAGCGAGAGTGCGTGGAACTCTGCCGTCTCCTTCTGCGAGCAAGTTATGCTCGCGAAGGAGACGGCGGAGCGGGACCGGGAGAGGTTTAGAACTCTCCCGGCCCGCCAGGCCCGGGCACGGGCCAGGCAGCGCAGGTCACTCAGGCGCCGGAGGTCGCAGAACGACCTTCGTCCTCCATAAGCGCAGGCCTGGGGGTGACAGGTGAGGCCATCTGTCACCCTAGCAGAAGCAGGCCGGGGTGGCGGCGAGCGCGTTGCGAAGCGCGCTCGCTTCCAGGGAGCACAGGGAACATGGGGTTCCCACACGGGGCGGGGGTCGTCTACTCGTCTGTAGATGACCCGAGGTATGTCGGGGCACCAGGGCCTTCCTTTCTAGGGTATACCTGGTTCCCCGGCTATTAGTACCCGGCGAAGGCGTGCGGTTTTAGTCGGTTCGAGTCCGACATGCCACCGACAGGTGGTATCCGAGGGGATTTCCGCACGGAAAAAAAAAAAAAAAAAAAAAAAAAAAAAAAAAAAAAAAAAAAAAAAAAAGGTCCCGCTCCGTACACCATTAGTACGATTATACCTAACAACCGTGCGATATCAACTTTAAAAGATGCTTTCTTCTTATTATTACCTACTCAAATCAGACATAGTATTTTACTTTAAAATACGCATAGAGTAACTCAAATAACAAAGCAATTTTGATCAATAATAAAAAAAATATTTCGGTAAATCACCGCTTTAGAATATACCACGTTCAGATGTTGGCTAATAGGATACAGTAATGTAAACAGTCAGTCATGTCAGTTTGCAGTTTTCACTGAACAATCTGTATATGTACTTAAGTGTAGACTTCCAAACTATGCTACAGCTCGTCGTGTCTTTGCGATAGGCAATTAAGATAGCAAATAATTATAATCTAGAATTGCCGAGGATGACGTTAAGGCCCATGATGAACGAGCGCTTTATAATTCCGTGAACGGATACACTGTGCCAGAAACTTCATACAACTCTATTCATGCGATGCACGGGGTAAAGTTTTAACAAGCCAACTTAATATCACTTTGCTCAGAATGCACGATTCGCCAGTTATTAATCATGCAGGACGGCTAGTTAGCAAAATTGGAGTGCTGTGTAGTGCGCTGAGATTTATTTGGAACGAGGTGGAACTGTGCCCAGGTATCGTCATCTAGATACTATTTATGAAGTAAAAATGAAATGCATGTAACGAAAGTGCAAAAAACGCTTGTTATATAAAAACTCATAAAATGTATAACGATTATATTTATGTATTGATGAAAGACCACATACATACACCGAAAATCTAACTATATATAATATGGGGAGTTAGTTGACTATGGCCAATAATCCAACCATAAACAAATTGCGGTCTCATGAATCAGTGGAGGTTAGATCTTCGTTCATAGCACATAATTTGTAGTATTCAGGTGTCTTTTTAACACAGTTATGAAATGACTTTAAAAATACGGATTCTCAGTTACAAGAAGAACGTTAATAATTCTTATGCTAATTAATATAACATATATTATTAATTGGCATGAGAATGATTAGCATTTTGTAAAAACCCAGACATTGTTATAACTGCTGCTACTTTGCATGAACATTGAATGTTCATGCAAAGTATGAAGTCTAATACAATTATTCTATACTTTGACTACATACCTATTCTACTCAATAGATTTGCGAAAAATTTGCGAAATCAAGAACAAAAATTCTTAATAAGTGTTAAAGAATTATCCCCTTTTGACAATCGGTACTATCTTATGTGTCTTCTTCTAAGGTTTATAAAAATCGTGATGATGTTCGTTATGTTCTGAATTTAATCTTACAAAAGACAGCCGATGAACTCATTCAAACTTTGATCAGTACAATATTTAGGTTAGGTTAGGTTTAGTGAAGTCGTCACTCCATCCCGCTGCTAAATTACAGCCAATAGGAAGTTGTCAAGGATAGAATGGATTGCTAAATAATAGCATTGTGACACTCAAAGATGTATATTTTAAGAGGTTTATTTATATAAATTTATAAGCAGACTATCACAAAAATGAAATCAATAAAGCAATGTATCTATGTACATCTCACATAGAAATTAATTAATACCTACCATTTTTATTTAAATAATATGTTAATGTTCCATAGAAAGTTTGATACAGTAATATTAGCATTATAAACAAAGTTCCTTTTGTTACCTTATATTTACAATGTTGAGCATCCATAAATTTATAGACCACTAACGGTTTTTAGTATGACTAACTGATGTAAAATGAATCATTTTGTGATTCTTTTCAAACTTTACTTGTTTTATTTTTATTTTTATTGTATATAATAATGATACCAGAAAATTGTATACATTATCTATGTAATAATTATATAAAACTGTTGCATTGTCGTATGATCCTAACAACTGAGCGAATGTCATGGATTCGATTCCCACACAGAAAATCTTATTTATTCTGTGTATGGGTGTCATTTACGAGTATCTAGAATACGAAATATATTTAGAAGCGTTTAAACTGCTGACAGCCGTAATTTCTTTATTTTTGCATATTACCTAGAAATAGTATTTAATTTTTATAATTAAATACTATTTCTAGGTACTATAGATATAAAAAGTAGGGCAAAATATTTAATACAGTCTCGAGATGATGTGGCATTATATAGTTTGCCTAAGTGCTATATAATAATTATATGGCTTTGCCACTAATATACACCGTCCACTAATATCCACTATCGAGCCACAATCCGCCAATTAGATCTCCTTGCCTTTCGGGAATCTCCTACCTTCGTAGGATTTCTCCAATTTACACACCGATCTGTCAAAGTGTAAAGGGAAATAAATGAGATTATGATACCATTAAGGCCAATTTAATACAAGATATGTAAGTAGTTTTGGCATAAAATAAAACAATATTACAAAAAAATATTTTTTAACAGGTAGCGTGGGTTCGAGTGGATACACAGACAATTTTGAGTATCCACCATAACATTATAACACAAAACCCTCGAATCAGCCTATCGTACAACGATCACCGGTCGTGGTATCTGCATATCAAGAACGTTCAAGAAGTCGACCGCGGGTGGTACATGTGTCAGGTCAACACAGATCCCATGCGTTCCAGAAAAGGATATCTACAAGTTGTTGGTAATTTTTTGAAACAAATATGCATCAAACACTTAATACTCTTATATCTATCAATCACAATCATATAACCTTTTTTTAAGGCATTTGACATTCAACCGTCTCACCCAATTTATTCATTTCTTCTTTATTATTTCTTTTCTTTCTCTATTCTTTAGATTTTTCTAAACTTCCAAATTATGCATTTAATCTTATTTCTTCTTTATAATATGTAGATTTTTCTAAAGGTCCTAATTTCCACATTTAACTTTTTGTGATTATTTGCAACGCACCGTACCTATAGTAATTTCACTTTTCAATTTTTAGAGATTGCGTTCATCAATAATATGCTATACAATATCACAAAATAAATTACTTTTTAAGAAACTATATTTACAACCAAATTCTTAAGTAAAATCTATGAAAAGAGCTTTGCAAATTCCAGCTCTTATTCAAGAATTCCTTATAACATAAATAAATGAATCACGTCTATACGTACATACCTATTTAAGTAACTTTTGAGTGGTACATTTATTGAATTTGAAAGAATGATAAAGACATGCTGACTACATTACTCGGTAACATCATAATGCAATAACAGCCTCGAATCCGAATCTTTATGTCTAGTGAATTAATTTAGCAAATTTACCTAAATATACGACTCAGGACACGATTAATCTACAAGGGAAAATACCTGTATGTTGAGGTTCGAAGTTGAGGTGTAGCAATAAAGTCACAAATTCATATCACATTTCTGTGGTAACCGCACGTCGACCCGGCAATATAATGTAGGTAAGGGTCACTTTACCCTTTTATATAAAACAATATTACTTCTAAAATCTATTAGTGTACGAGCAATATACTTAACGAGTAAATAGCATTGTGCAAGATTGTTGCTCATACAATTCAGACATCATTTCTCTGATTTATCAAGATTATTTCCCCAAGGAGTTGATCAAACTGGAGAACAGGTATACGAGTAGTATGCCTGTTCTCCAGTTCTGATTAGCTCTGTACAACTCGTTCGCCTCTTTGAGGAAAATACTTTAAGCTTATAGGCACTTCTACGTCAATAAAATTAGGTTAACTTGTTGTAAAATCCATTAACATAGAAGTGCGAAATTTAAAATTAAAAAAATTGTTTAACTGTGTGTTGTGTATATTTTCCTAGTCCCTCCTGTCATCATTGACAACATGACGTCAACGGACATGGTGGTTCGCGAAAGTACAAATGTGACAATGGTGTGCCGCGCTACCGGTTACCCAGAACCTTACGTCATGTGGCGACGAGAAGACGGCCAAGAGTTTAACTGTAACGGTGATACAGGTATGTTATTAATTAGATTATTTTAACACTACTAAGTTAGCAAACAAGCATAGCTTACCGTGAATATTATGTAATACCAAAGCTTTTCCAAGGAAGTTCCAGTCTGAGTATGATAGATATCTTCTGGGATAGTGGTTTAGTTGATCAAAGTTACTGCCTTAAAAATATCACAAATAATTTGACTTATAATTTTTACTGTTATTTAGTAAATTGCCGATAAATCATTTCAATTGCTGGAATAATTCGTTTATTTTGCATATAAAACATACAGTTAAAGTTTTTCTTCTCCATCTAAAATATTGCATCATCATGCTGTTGCTTTAATAAAGGCTGTTGCTTTAATAGTCCACTGCTGGACATAGGTGTCTCCTTAGATAGGAGGTTTTGGCCTTAAATATTAAAAAAATAGAAATTAGATTTTAAGGAAAGAAAATCTATTCTATATATTAAATTTTATTTGATTATATTGATTAAGAAATAATCTACGATATCTGTTTTTTTGTTTATAGCAAATTAAAATCTATTATGTTTTAAGAGTGAACAGTTTTCTATTCTTTTAGCACAATCAGTACTCCTCTTAACAAAGGATTTAGGTGTTCTTATAAATATCCGGTCAACACATTAGTTTCTGTACGCTCATTATGTTGTTGCTCTCTCAACTGAACAAAAAACATGAAAGAAAGAAATCTCCGAAGCGAGAAATGAACTGGAATGAACCCGTTGAGATACCATTCGAGTACATCTGTCAAATACAGACGAACATGTTGTGTTCGAAAATTACAATTTTGTTCAAATTATTTCAACATCATCATTTCATTAGCTACATTATTTTATACACATTAAACATGACGAATGAGTTCCAGTTATTTAACAATATCTATATTTGTCGTTCGTAGTTATTACATGGTTAACTAACGGGCTTATTTTAATAAATGTACTGTGCTTAATTGATTTTGTGACAGAATATGTAAAATACATATTGTAGCTCAGTATGGTAGTCAGTGAAGAGTCACACACGGTTCTGCATTAATGGAATGAAATAAAGCGTGAAAGTTAACACCAAGTTAGCTTTATTAAAATACCTGCCTCATGAATTTGTATGTTTTGTAATATTTTCTTGAACTACAAATTATTTTAAGGGTGTCTTATCATATTTCTACTATAATTGGTGTCTGGTTGGAAAATACCTACAGTTTGGTTTACCATGTCATTTTTAGGGTATAATTCGTTATGTGTCCATATCGTACATGGATCGGGCCGCTGAAGAATGTCGAAGAGAGGTTACATGCGGGGTTCTGTGGAACCTTGCGTATGATGCCGTACTGAGGACTAGTCTTCCCCTAGGATTAGTACTAGAGCATCGTCTGCGTAGCAGACGATGCTCAAGTACTGGCTGGGGTCATGGCTTCCAGGAGGTCCTTGAGCTTGCCTAGATAGGGGTGAGTTGTGTCTTCCGAAACATTAGCGGTCTGGGACTAAGTCCCAGACCGCTAATGTTTCGTTGGACCTCATAAGACGGTAGCCTTGTGGTTCCACAAAAAACGCAAAAGTGCAATTCCCACCCGCTCACTTATTAGAGGTGGGGGAACAGAGGTCGAGCTTGTCCAATACATCAAGCGGCACTCTGGACAGCCGCTGGAGCTTCAAGGAGAATTTCGAGCGGATGATCCCCAGAATTCGTGGGGTGGTGGGCTCCCTACAGAGGCTGTTGCCTAACCTAGAGGTTCTGCGGGAGGAAGTTCGCTGTCTCTTCTGTGCGGTGATACGATCCATGGCCCTCTACGGAGCGCCGATATCAGCCAAGCGCCTATCGGCCTCCTCTAGACGGCTACAGTCCTGGCACGTTTCCTGCCCTTTGATATACTAGCGGATATGGACGCGTGGGTCTATGACCAGACTCGCGCGATCTGCCGGGTTGAGAGCGGGCAAGACCAGGACGAGCTCGAAAGGCGGTGGAACACTCATCGACAGGCACTAGGATAGCGGTTTGTGTAACGGACTGCTATTCCAAAGGTCGCGGGTTCGATTCCCGCTCAAGTCAAACATTTGTGTGCATGAATATTTAATGTTTGATTTGGTCAGGGTGTTTCTATGTATAATATGTATGTATTTCCAAAAACAGTATATATGTGTTTATATCACTTGTCTAGTAGCCATAGTACAAGCTCTGCTTAGTTTGGGACTAGATGGCGTTGTGTGAATGTGGTAGAATATTATTATTATTAGGCAAAATTAACACATTAACAGTTTCGTCATCAGTTCGTCACATTACAGCAAACATCAAATATTTTTACATTCGATATAACGCCTAGATTACACACACGCACTATGATCTTAGTTACACATTTCAGTCAGACAACTTCCTTTTTTGTCGCTTTTCAAGGTGTACGGGGGCAATTATATTAGAATTAATAGTATAAATAAAGTATAAATGTATTTATATCAGTTGTCCAGTACCCATAGTACAAGCTCTGCTTAGTTTGGGACTAGATGGCGTTGTGTGAATGTAGTAAAATATATTACATTTTTTATTAGTGGCCCGCGCGGCTGGAACAGCCGCGGCATGTGCGCCAACGCGCTGCCCGTACTAGAACAGTACTCGTAATCTCTAAGCTTGGGTAGGTAGGAAGGGAGGTCGCGTCACCTACTGACTGATGCAGGTACCAGTGAGGACATGGTTGCTTCGGCCTAAAACGTTGCCTAAAACGTATCGGAAGCAAGGAGACGGCACAGCAATGCGCAGCTGACTGGAACTCCGCCCAGCATAGGCGAAGTCCTGGTCGACCAAATCGGATGAGACCTGTCCCCGCCAGCAATGATTGATGCCATGCTCGCGGGTAAAAAGGTATGGGGCGCAGTAGTCTCTTTCTGTGAAGCTGTAATAATCCAGAAAGAGACCGCTGAACGTAAAGGAAGTCGTCGACTGGCTTCGCAGTCAGGATCACTAACCATTAGGCCAAAAGGTTTGACCGTAACTAACATAGTTGATTAGAAAGAGATATTACTCAATAGAGATGAATTCAAAGAGCACTAACAAATGACACTAAAAGTTAAAAAATAGTTACAAATCAAAAGGCTAAAATAAATGAGACTCAATATAACTAAAGTAACTACAATCTTAAATAGCAAAACTAACTACAATCCTTATTCATAAATGGCGTGAATTAATAAGTTTAGATGTAACCTTACGAGTATTCGAGTTTTGCGATCCATAGATGTATGGTTTTAATCCTAAAAGTAAATATGAGCAAAATTATAATAGATCTACTTGTAACGCTCCACAAAGCGTTATTGTATACTAATGTATCATTATTGTTATTGGTAGACAGCAATTATAAAATATTCATTTATTTGCAGTAAACGTGGTGGACGGTGAAAACCTAACAATATCTAAAGTATCTCGGCTGCACATGGGCGCTTACTTGTGTATTGCTTCGAACGGCGTCCCTCCATCGATCAGCAAGCGAGTCGTGCTCATGGTGCAATGTAAGTTCCGTTATCGAATTATAACTCCACCAGTGCTGAAATATCGTACCAAGGGAGCTCACATATTGAGTATAGTCTGTTTGTAAGTGTGTTTATAACTTGAGATCTTCATCTCTGATTTCCGGAATTTAAATTAGTTCTCGTTTTAAAGAGCATGCCAGATTTTAGAAAACTATTTGTATTTCAACAATTGGGTTAGTTTGCTTGTTATTGCAAGAACCGAAATGCGATTCCTGTGAAATAATTATTTGTATATTCCTGTTAGATATTCGCAGTAAGTGCATAGGTGAGTTTAGAAACATGCCAGTCAATTGTATACTCTCGCCAATAGTGACCAAAAGCTGCTAGTGTAATATGGGTTCATAATACACTTTTACTGGCCTATTTTAAAGTCATCCGACTTAACTGCCGATACTAATACAAAGCTTTTTCTTTTGCATGAGTTTTTTTTTGTTTGTTTGTTCAAAGACCTAAACATCGGATTCTTATTTTATCGAGACTATTCATTTAAAAAGATTATACGTTTTGTAACATACTGTACGGTATATCTGTATCCCCATCTTCTCTTACTATTCTGCTGAATACAAAAACATCCAACTTCACTGTTATGCTATTAATACTTTGTATATGATGGGAATGCTTCTGGCCTGGGATAAATACACTGATATTTTCTCATTGAAGGAGTAACCTCTAAAAACCTTCAAAAACACCATTCAATGACGTGCATTGAATAACATCGCACGTCATTGAGTAGTGTTATTCTTTTATAAAAAAAGAAAACTCTCGCATTAGGTATACATATACCTACATATATATCCTGTGTCGCGGGCAACTTTACAAACATACATGAAATAGACACAAAGAATACCCAGACTCAGAACAACAATTTGTGAATCACAAAAAGTGGTGGACACCACTTTGTGTGATTCACATTCACATTTCACATGTGGGGCACATCAAACCCACAACATAGTAGGAAGCGGCGTGGCGACCGCTAAAACATCTGCGCCATGAGTGCAGTCCATTGTTATATTCCCATAGGTCATGATACCTATGTGAATATAATAATGTACTATAAATAAATAAGTATAGAACAAAGGATCTTTCTGTAAAACTGCGGAGGTTATGTAACGAGCGTTATAAAACTACTCCTATTGACACTGGTGAATAAAATTCATATGGGGGTGGCCTTTGTATTCTATTTACCAGAACTATAAAAAATAGCGCTGTGGGTGTTTGAGTGAAACAGAGAATATTTTTTGAAACTCGATTTGCACATAACCATTCTACTACGATAAACATAGTTCTTTTATGTATAATATTTTTTAACATGTTTATTACCAGTATTTATAAAGTTAAATATCCATTGTGGTATAGACTACGTGGTTTTGTCAGAATTATGCTTTTGAAAATATGGTATTTAATTATTTCATTATTGACTAGCGATCCGCCCCGGCTTCGGACGGGTGCAATGTGGTAGAAGTATTCCAAAAGAAAGCAACATACAAAAACGATCTTGATTTGGATTCACAAGTATGATTCAACCTTTTAGTGATTTGTTTTTAAAGGCAGTTTTTGAGAGGTGAAAGAAGTCAATTTCGTCAAAATTATCATTGTAACAGCTAGGCAAACGCCTGAGAACAGCATTCTTACCATAATTGGTACGGTGCAGAGGAACACTGAACAGGCGTGTATGTCTAGTACGAGCCCTGGGTGCATTCAAGCTAATATTAGAGAGAAGGTCTATACTATCAATTTCACCTCGAATAATAGCAAATAAAAACTAAGTAACATACGCCTACTAGATGGAGGCAGTAAATCATAGTGCTTACAGTCGTCAAAATATGATAAATGTCGTCTTATTGTCCTTGAAATTTAGATGTCTTAAGAAACGTTTTTTAATTCTCTCTACTTTATCTGTGTATGCAACATATTGGGAAGACCAGACAGGACTGCCATAGTCTAGTACACTTTGCACGTATGCACGGTAAATAGATTTGAGGCAGTTGATATTCCTAAAAGCGCACGTACGCATAACGAAACCTAGATTTCTGAATGCCTTACTGGTAATGGTGTCTACGAGTATATGGCGAGATAAAAGTATTTTAGAATCCAACACTACCCTCTCTTACATGAAATCTACCCTAGCGATAATACTATCAGCGAATTTGTGTGTACTTGATAGGACTTCTACGACGGCTAAAACTTATGCACTAACATTTATCAATGTTTACATTAATATTATTGCGTTTATAATACGAGACCAATGCGTCCAGATCTTGTTGCACCTACTCACAGTCAAGTCTATATTTAATTTTTATAAATATCTTTTTATCATCACCATACATTAGATGCCTCGAGTTACTAAAACACTCAACACTAATTTACACATTCATGTGTTACTTATATCTATTTATAATATATGTTACAAGCAATTTATAAGCACAAGGAGCATGTACAAAAAATACATAAATTTAATTCAAATACATACATTTAGTAAGTCCAGAGAAAATAATATTTCATAATTCATAATTCATAATACTTTATTTGTGGAATATAGGTTAGTTACAGATCTTAAATGTTATGTTAAAGTTCCACTACATCCTACCACATTACGTGGTGTACAAATAATAAATCGAGAAAATAATAATTACAATTTAAATACATCACAAAAGAAAGAAGAAAAGACAATTTATGCGTCTACAAATATTGAGTCCAAATAATTACATAATAATTTTTCTGTATGTCAATTTTTAAAACATTATTAGCATGCCAATATTAAAATAATTCTACATAATAATATATATTACATTATTTTGTCATGGAAATATTCGTCAACAGAGTATTATTTCACTTAGATCTTCAAAAAAAGCTATTGTATTATACACAAAATTATAAGCATTGCGCATTAGCTAACCGACCAATCGTCTTGCAATTTAGCAAGCTCTCTCGCAATCTCGCTTTAAAGCGCACCAAATAAGACATCTGGTATGTTTTTCATCCAGAAAAACTTCTGTTCCCATGGGATAGAAAATTAACTTTACGCGAGCGAAGGCGCTGGCAAGCTATTTCATAGAATATTGTATATAGCAAATACTATGAAGAACGTGTCAAGCTTTTGTTCTGTGTGTAACTATATTGTTTTTGTTATATAACTATACCAGGTTGCATTTTTAAGTGTTTATGACTGTGAGCCTGTAGTGGTGCAGTGATATGTAAGAACCAAACCGACTAAAGCTGCAAGACACAGCAAGTAAGCACGGCAACGTGCCTATGCAAAGCACAACCTACCTTTTATTCCGTAAAATATTTAACATATTTATTCCTTATGAAAAATAGACGCCGTCAAATTTCAACCATTTAGTGCTTCTTGCCATTCTATCCAATTACATGTCTATTGATGCTTTATACATTATTTATGTAGTCTGAATGTTTATTATTACCCAGCTAGAAGGGACTGACTTCAAAATGGTACTTTGTAAATACACAGTAGTGAACATCTTTGGATGGTCCTTTTTATGATTTATTTTGCTTAGTTGAAGTTGACAATGTCGTATGAAATTCTTTACAATTTTGATGTCACTATTGTAAAGTGGCTAAATAGAGTTTGTATAAGTTTAGTCTCCTCAAATGGCCTCCTATTCCTATTGGCTCCTATTCTTAATATTACAAAGGCTACGAGTTACACGTCTTTACTAATAATTTTAATTTACATACAGTTCCTTTCTTGAAATCACTCAACTCGTTCAAACTTAACAAATTACCTTCATCATGAACAAAGTTCTTTCCCGGCAATTTATCAAATTTTACTTTTCCGTTAATCTACGTTTAAGTGTACTTCGAGCCGACAGTACCTCAACCTGAAATATAAAATAGCCTCGTATTTTATACTCATTCGGTTGTCAATGGCACGTTTACGCCGAATTATAAATACTCCTATTGTTTTAAGACTACACTACAAACACATTTAAGCTTAAAGAGCAGTAGTAGTTGGCGGCTTGCCATTAAATTTTCTGAACTATTTATGCAATCCAATTCTTTGTTAGAACACACGTACGGGGTATAACTTCTATAAGGGACCGTCTTTGTCAGGCATAGCTGTCGTTCCACACGTATTCAATCATTATCATAATATCATGAGTTCTAAGCAAAACTTAATGAACTTAATATCGTTGTTTTGTGTTGTTTGTATAGTCTAGATATAGATGCATTTTTAGTTAAGGGAATTTAAGAATACAGCAAACAACACATGAACAGGTTCACTTAGGTCGTACTTTTCAGTTCACAAAACGTTATCGCAATCTTAAACGAAGCTTAACAAGAAAATTACGGTCTAGTTGTCTACCAACTCCTTCGTTCATAAAATTTAAATCATTCCAAGTATAAGATCTGCCCTCAGAAATACATTAATTCTAGAGCGTCTGGTGTCGCTTCAGCCAACTGCGCGGCATGGGGCTGTCTGCAATGCTGTAAGACAACTTTCACAAAACTTTATTCGTCGTTGTAGACGATCTATGAAGTGACATAAATAATAGTTTTATTTTATATGTAGATTATTTAATCTGAATATTCTCCTAATATTATTTTAAAAAAAATATGAATAGTGAGGATAATAGGATTTTATCTAGATGGAAAATAAACTTATAAAACAATGAAAAAAATATCATTTTATCGTTTTTTAGGTTGACGGTGACGAAATATATCTCGTCAGTTTATTTGTTTTTCACACGTTCTCGCCTAAACATTCAATGCATCGTATTGAAATTTTGCTAGTAAATTATTATGGAGACAGAAGCAAATACAATATGGTAAGTTTGGTTACAAAAACAAATTTAACACAGCGAAGCCGCGAGTACAAGTTAGTTAATAAATTAAAGCAAGTTAAAGTAGTCATAGTTACAAGAGAATGAAAATCAAGGATTAACACTAGGTGCAAGTATTGACTAAATAAAGTGATAACAAGGCTATAAGATCTGAAATTGATCTAAGTCAATCTTATT